GCGACGGAACCCGAAATTGCGAGTTGCCGATCTTTCCTGGACGATGAGTGGTGTGAGACTGATGCCGCAATCGCCGCATTACCGATGACGCAGTCGTCATCTGCGCGTAGTGCGAAAAAAAGTAATCAGAATGAGTACACTTTAAATCCTTTAACGAGGATCCATTGGAGGACAAGTCTGGTGCCAGCAGCCGCGGTAATTCCAGCTCCAATAGCGTAAATTAAAGTTGTTGCGGTTAAAAAGCTCGTAGTTGAATCTGTGTCGCACACTGTCGGTTCACCGCTCGCGGTGTTTAACTGGCATGATGTGGGACGTCCTACCGGTGGGCTTAGCCTCGCGAGGGGCGGCCCAAATAATATCCCATCGCGGTGCTCTTTACTGAGTGTCGAGTTGGGCCGGTACGTTTACTTTGAATAAATTAGAGTGCTTAAAGCAGGCTACCTTCGGCTGAATACTGTGTGCATGGAATAATGGAATAGGACCTCGGTTCTATTTTATTGGTTTTCGGAATCCCGAGGCAATGATTAATAGGGACAGATGGGGGCATTCGTATTGCGACGTTGGAGGTGAAATTCTTGGATCGTCGCAAGACGGACAGAAGCGAAAGCATTTGCCAAAAATGTTTTCATTAATCAAGAACGAAAGTTAGAGGTTTGAAGGCGATCAGATACCGCCTTAGTTCTAACCATAAACGATGCCAGCTAGCGATCCGCCGAAGTTCCTCCGATGACTCCGGCGGGCAGCTTCCGGGAAACCAAAGCTTTTGGGTTCCGGGGAAAGTATGGTTGCAAAGCTGAAACTTAAAGGAATTGACGGAAGGGCACCACTAGGAGTGAAGCCTGCGGCTTAATTTGACTCAACACGGGAAGCCTCACCAGGCCCAGACACCGGAAGGATTGACAGATTGATAGCTCTTTCTTGATTCGGTGGGTGGTGGTGCATGGCCGTTCTTAGTTGGTGGAGCGATTTGTCTGGTTAATTCCGATAACGAACGAGTGTCACATCCGCACTACCAATTGTAAGAGGAAGCACCACACAAAAAATTTTTTTTTCTCTCTCTCTCTTCTTTCCCTGGAATCACCCTAAATTTTTCTAAGTCCCTCAACCCAAAACTTTTCTAAGTCCCTCGAACATAAAATTTTCTAAGTCCTTCGACCCTAAATTTTTCTAAGTCCCTCAACCCAAAATTTTTCTAAGTCCCTCGACCCTAAATTTTTCTAAGTCCCTCAACCCAAAACTTTTCTAAGTCCCTCGAACATAAAATTTTCTAAGTCCTTCGACCCTAAATTTTTCTAAGTCCCTCAACCCAAAACTTTTCTAAGTCCCTCGGCCGAGAATTTTTCTAAGTCCCTCCGCGCCGAAATCTTCTAAGTTCTAATTTCCAAACCCCCACTACCTTCCCACTCCAGAGGAAAATTCGGCGGCTCGGGAAAGCCGCAGCTCAGGGACCGCGGAGCGCCCGAGAGTCAGTCTCAGTCGTGCAGTGATCTGGTGCAGTGCTTCCTCCATCCCTCCTAGGGTCTAGTATAAGTGCTAAATCTAACTTAGAATATTTTTGCTAAATCTAACTTAGAATATTTTCGTGAGTTTTAACTTAGAATATTTTCGTGAATATGAACTTAGAATATTTTTGCTAAATCTAACTTAGAATATTTCGTGAGTTTTAACTTAGAATATTTCCGTGAATGTGAACTAAGAATATTTTTACTAAATCTAACTCAGAATATTTTCGTGTATTCATTTTAGTTAAAATATACTCTTGTTAGCCGATTCAAGGTTAGATTCACTCTCCCATCTCCTCCCATCCCCGACCGCTAACGCATTGGAATCGCCTAGCTGATAACTGGCCGCCGATTCTTCAAGGTATTCGCATCACTAGAATAGGGGCGTACAGGCTGCGGCCCGATCGCACCGCCCATCCGTAGACGCACAGGTTGCGGCTCGATCGCACCGTCTACTAGTTACTCGAAGGCGCATAGGTTGCGACTCGATCGCACCGCCTGACAGAATAGGGAACTCCGAATTAACCACACGAATACAGCTGGCCGGAGTCACGGGAGTGATTCCAAATGCGCCCTGTACTCAGGGGTGGTCGTAAAAAATTCATCAAAAAATTAGAATACCAACTAAAGCATGGACAAGCGTACCACCCTTACCTAGGTGTCGAACCCACCAACTCCGCTCCCGACAAGGGGCATCCTCGCTCCACTGAACCCCCTCGCTCTCCAGAATCTCCTCAGTCGCCCGTGCCAGAGCACCCGAAAGCTACCGCTCGCAAACCATACAGTGTTAGCAAGATCGATTGTGACACCCATCCGCGACTACCGATCATTCGATGCGGATTCTCGCCACGAGACCCGAGGCCTGCTTTCTACCGTCGACTGCGTGCAGAGATCCTCCACTACTACTACGGAGCATCTACCCCGCCTCACACTCTCCGCACCTGTAACGAGAAAACTCCGACCCTCGAGCAACTTCGTGGGCACGTGCGCAACTCCATGATACAGGTGTGCCAGATCATTACATTGGATTAAAGGAACTGGTGAGTGTCAATTGCTGTATACTCCGCGGAACATCGTGTCGTGCCCGCCAGATCGCGCGTATCCCTGGGGAGAATCACGCGATTCGTTTGACCCAAAAACTGCGATCTAGCCCCGCGTCCAGGCCCGAGCACCTGCAGCCTAGCATCGCAGCCGCGGCCGACCGGGACGTAACATTCCCAAACTCGAAATAGTGGTGACGTCCTCAGCTCTGAAGGCGGGTTACAGATTCCTCACTAACGAGGACTCTGCGATGCAAGCGCTAGGAGTGGCTTCTGGGCTCGAAAAGAAGATGAAGCGACTAGTGCATACGGCCAAATTGGGGTGGCCAATAATGTCTATCAAGGGGATAGACGAATATAAAAGCAAAGCAAAGCGGAAGAGCAGCGGCTGTGGGCTGCTCTGCCTTCACAAGGCAAAGGTGTCAAGGCCTATAAAGGCGATAAGGTTGGGAATGAATGGCTCTATAGACCAACACTACTCAAGGCGAGCAGATTTATAACTGCTCTTAAGTTGAGGGGTAACGTGGCCGCAAACAAAGTGTCCCTCAACCGAGCCGCAAAAACCCACAATGTGCTCTGCAGACACTGTAAAACACAGCCAGAGACATTGGGCCACATACTGGGGCAGTGTATGTACACTAAACCTAAGCGTATTAAGCGCCACAACGACATCCGTGATTTCATCGAGCAGCATACGTTGAATCACAAAGGGATGTCTATAACGACTGAAGCACGGATCGCCAATCCTCAACAGAGGAATCTCCAACCAGACCTGGTCATACAGGACCGGGGAAGGCTCTTGGTGGTTGATGTGACAGTCTGCCACGAGGACGGAGACCTCCTCGCTCGAGGAAAGAGAGACAAACTACAAAAGTACTCCTCTCTCAAAGAAGTCTTGATTAGAGAAACTGGGGCAAAAGACTTCAAAGTTCTGCCAATTGTGGTGGGAACTAGAGGCACAATGCCTCGTGAAACGCTTTCCTGTCTTAACGAGTTACAGATTAAAGACAGAGGCTCCTTGCGAACAATATCTTTGATCGCGCTAAGGAGCTCAATAGAAATATTCCATGCATTCATGGACTATAATGCACCACTTCGAAACATCGGAGATGATTCCGTGCATTAAAACTCTTGGCACTTAGCCCACTGGTACAAATGTTTTAAACTACGGTTTTAAAACTATTGACTAGGACATTGTCCGCTAAGTTATTATATTTATTTATTTGAGAACCATATACATTCTCAATTTTAACTCTTATGTGGCCCTATTGCCACAGGTACCAGTGGTGCGAGTCGTACGGCGAGACATCGCCGCGGCGGCAGAGCTGTGCAACTGAGTCGCCCAGTTCACAGACGGATACCTCCACGTGGTTCCCTGCGGTAACGGCAACACTAAGCCGGCCAAATTCAGCTTCCTCAAGTTTGAGGACTCTGCTCTCAATTTTTCCAAGCCTGTACGCAGGAATCCCTGGCAGGTCAATCTGACAGGTTTCCCTCCTGCGGGAGGATAGCCAAGAGTGCTAGATTGTAACGCAGAATGAAGGAACAGAACGAAAGTAAACTGGATGGAATTCTCGAAATTTGTTGAGATATCCTGTTGCTCATACGGGCGTTCCATAAGCTAACCTGCAGGAACGTCCCGCCAGGACCTGTTGTTACCTCGCACCGCAGAGTCACTAAGCGGTAAGTCGCGCCACATGGCGTTGAAATCTTTAGCTGCACGATGGTTGCTGGGAGGGCCATTCTGGCCCTCTGCGTACAGTTTCGACCAACGACTCAGTGTTCGGCAGGGGATGACGGAGGGTCCTCATTCCCTCGACTTTCCCTGAGCCGGCATTCTAGGCTGGGTAACCAGTCTATATCGCAAGCAGTCCCACTGGGTGCAATAGGGAAGGGAACGGCATGGTTCCCGCACTCTGCTGGGTTAACTTACCCTTGCGACGAAGGTTTGTAAGGGTTGGATGGCTTTACGAAGACCAGACTCTTGGCTGAGTATCGTTGTTGGGATAAGAGGAATCCCTGTGGCCTGGAAACCACGTCGGTGCAAGCTTCTGTCGTGTGGTTGCTGAGGGAGGGCTCTGGTTACTTGGGTCAGTGATGCGCAATACAGCCAACCACTTGGCATTTAGCCTCTCCTGACCAAGTTATACTCCATACCTCCTCGTGGTCCCGCTGGTAACGCTGTTTCCTCTTGGAAAACAGCGGCCGAATTGGAGTATAGCGACCTAGGGCATTAGGGGCTGCCAACCCTTTCTGCCTGCATTAGACTGGCGCGATTAATAAGAAGAAAGCCTCGGATACAAACAATAACCCCGGGCCCTCTGGTCATCGGGATCCAGTTACGCGGAGCCGCGCGGTTGCTGCCGAGGCTGTCGCTGGGCCACACGCGTCGCACGAATGTGAATACCCGGGTTGCACACGGGCGTTCACCACAGTCACGGGCCGGGCACTTCATCAGAGAAGAGCACACGC